GTTGGTTATTAAATCACATAAGAACAGTTTTCTTCTATTCACAACATTTATCATTTGAAATTAATAATTATTAATTTAACGTAACATTGGTTTTATTTAATTGTTTTGTAGCGCTTCAGTTGATAAAGGATCCAGATAGGATTCGAAGGATTCTGTGATTTCAAATAATATATGTTGTGAATAGATGAAAACTGTTTTTGTGACCCAAAATATCGCCTATAAAGCTAATATCTGCTGAAAGTCTTGGATCGTATATCTCTTTGAAGTATTGGGCCCATTAACTGTCTAGCTTAGTGCATTATGTAGTAAGTTATTCTGATCGGGTTAAAATACCATAATACGCCAAAGACTCCCCCTTTTACCATGCCGTCTAATATATAAAGATAACGTAATGCACCGTGAGTTTGACGTTGGCATTTTGCTAATTAAGATGTCGTTCAAACAGCCCCAGTAAACTTGGAATATGAGGAGAAACTTTGAGATTCATGTTGATAATGTCGCTACAATGTCAAGACATGTGATGATATTATTCTTATACTGATATCTGCGCGAGTGGGCGTAGGAGACAAATGATATTTATTAATTACATATTTCAGATAAACTATGAAACTCAATAATAAGGTAAATAAGTTTTCTTTATTCCGTCATGTCAAAAGCACTTGTAGTTAGTATGCCATGTGTGCAAATCTACATATTCGACGCTTTTAATAATTTCTGTTTGTGAATTTTATCGCAAAAATATTTAATGGAATAGTGTTATAACTGGTTTAATGATGCCACTAACTTCAATTCAAATTCGAAGGAACCCAAAATAGAACTAATCTTGGTTTAAATAATTGATGCGTCGGTTGAGTTCACGTGATCAAAAACGTTATGCATATTCTTTATCGCATAAAGTTGAGTTTCGGGACATAGGAAACAAGATGGAATCGAACGTACCATTTTTAACTTTCCTATTTTATCAACCTGTTTAGTTAATTTAACTCCGTCTCAAATGATTCGTGATTGCATCCGATGCCATTCTTCAGTATAAATGTCATTATCGGACGTGTTATAAGTTTTATGAACGGTCCTTTTACATCGTTGCTACTGTAACGGATACGCTCGCCGGTTTATGTCATGCTAGATTACCTCGGGGGAAATTATCAAATGGGATTATCTCAGACGTCGCATTCGTCGACTTAAGCTCGCCATGGTTTGATGAGTTCGAAGTCATTATAAGAAAGATCAAGGGACATCTTACAAAACGTGCAAATTATAAAATCTACAAAGTTTGTTCTACCGCATCAAAACAAAGCATCGATGATCACATTGAGGGACCCAGTAAAATCACAATGTTCTCGAGAACTCTTTTATTATAAAGTCTAAGATGTTCAAGAATATTCCACACAGATGTTGATGATACACCCCATGCAGACAGATCGACTAAAATTACATTCGTATGATGTGAGACTCGACGTTCACCAGGAAACTTGAAATAATTTGTCACCCATGGAGCAAATTAATTTTTTACTGCTTTATTAATAAATAGTGAATGACAGCCAAATTAAGTTTTATAAGTATGAAATAGCATGATGTCTTGATAGTTCAAGGTAACGTCGTTTGAAAACGTATGGCGGTAATGGAAAAAACGATGTAAAGATAAAACCGCAACGAAATATTTGTTGATTTCTTTGAAGAACTAAAAAATATACATCACATATCGAATTTTCCGAAACACAAAAAAACATGTATAAATTGTAAGGCCTGGTAGCATTAACATTGGTCTCGAATATCATATACGTATTGTGTGACATATTATGTCATACAATTAATATTTGAAACGCAACTATTATTATAACTTATGATCGGACATTAGTATGATACAAGTGTTACTTTATTACATAGCATACTTATGTCCGAACGATTATAAGTTCATAAGTTCGAATAATAGTTGCATTTCAAATATGTCAAATGTATGACATACACGAGACCAATGTTAATGCTACTAGGGAAAATGTTTTTTCTGTTTCGAAAAATTCGATATGTGATGTTTACGACTATAATAACTATTTCTTAGTTTTTCAAAGAAATCTACAAATATTTCGTTGCGGTTTTATCCTTACATCGTAATTTCAATCACCGCCATCATTATTTAAACGAGTTACATTGAAATATCAAGTCATTCACCATTTATAAAGCAGTAAAAAATTAATTTGCTTCACGAGTGGCAAAATTCTAATTTCCAGGTGAATGTCGAGTCTCGCATCATACAAATGTAATTTTAGGCGATCTGTCTGCACCGGGTGTGAAAGTAAACTAAATTTTAGATGTTCACTTGTTATTTATAAGGTTAGGAGGCTAACACTTGGGTAAATGCATTAAAATTCCAGCATCACATTTAGTATGACTAGAACAGTATAACCCTGACAAGTGAATGAAGGCCGGAAAACACTTTTAAAAGCCTAACTTGAATAGAACTTCCAACAATGAATCTTAAAATATTTCGAGACCAATCCGATGCTTATCGTTGATATATTGTGTTTAATTGACTAATGAATTTCGGCTTTGCGAAAGTACAGGGTCGGCCCTTTAAGCTTAAGCTAAACACACGCATATTATTAAGACTGAATGCTCTGGAATCTTTTATAAATTCTATTAATACCCACTTATAACGGAGTGCAGGGTTTCAATTTTAATTGCTCTTCAATATATATTCTAATGCCTCTATTGTGACCAATGGCATGTGGTTTTGGTTTGTGGTATTGATTCCTAGATGTTGGGGGAAAGGGGGGTGTAAGGCTTTACATAATATGTCATTGTTTGGGATGTTTGGGTTTGCCACGTTATAACCGTCTTCACTCTTCTTTTTCTAATTGTGTTTTAATACTCTTCGGAGTTTTCCCTTTAAGCAAAAACGCTCACATATCGTATTAATTATCTATTTGTATTCCGTACACGTCACACACAGTGATTTGTTTGGATCTGCTTTTAAATGATTGAATATGTTATGTCAATAAGACCTGTTCTCCCTTCTTTAAGTTTACATATTATAAGTTTGACTTAAGTGCCCCAATTGGACATGTAAAAACCGACTGTTCTTAGCTGAATTCTTATCTTGAAACTTTATCTTGAAACTTTATGTAACATAAAAACTGTTTTTAATGCTAAAAACATCAATTGATTTGTTTTCCATAGAAACTATTCCTGGCGCATTTAAAACAAGAACATAGACGGAAATTGATGATAATGTACATGTTTTTTAAATCCTATGTAAACAAAGGGAATGTGTGGGCTGTTGCTAATTCGATGAAATGTCAATCGTAATCATCATAAAAACAATTTTGACTTTTCGAACTATTTTTAACAACTCCTTATATTCATATTTAAATCATATACTCAGACATTTGATACACGAAGCGGGTTTATAATTAGAAATTGTAGTTTATAGCTGTCTGCCATGGAAACAATTAAAAATACAACATTAGGAATGCATTTTTGTTAGTATTAACATTGGAAAAGTAACTTGCCGAAAATGTACACTTCCTCCATAAATTTGGAAACTGGAAGATGTCATCGGAAAGCATATCAAAGAGAAAATATTCGAATTCAAAGCATCGTTGGAGACCTGAAAGGCTCGCTTCTATGTCCCTACAATGTTCATGTATAAGAATAAAGGTCTGAAATGTACTGATATTTTGTTCAATTCATGTCAAATATTTTCCAAGCTCAAATCGAAATAATTTAAAGTGGGGCTAGGTTAGGTCACCCTAGATCGGTTGTTGGCCCCATATGCCTTCTTGAAGTTTCACAACCCATCAGCGAGTATGCCGTAATCCATGATTCAACGTTCAACAAGCCTGCAGTTTCTCCGATACCTGATATCACTTTTAATAATACTGCCATCTCTTTTTACATACTTTAGCTCATTCTTGAAACCTCCATACAAAATACTGTATCAAGTTTTAAAAAGCCTGTTAGACTTATCTTCCACACTGTGTCCTAGTTTTACATATGCAATGTTGATGCATTCCGAAAAAGTCTCCTATATCTACATTATACATTTGTAAAAAGTCACATGAAACTATCTGTAGAAAGGCATCTAAACTATCTATTGTTCTTTTACTGTTTTCTATTTTTATAATGCATTTTTAAAAAGCTAGCTAAAGACGTACTAATTTATACACTCGAGTCCAGAGATCGGGTATCTAGACCTGACCATATTCTCTCAATTAACTATTCAATATCACTATAGCACTACATTTTGAGAATCCATCCTGACTACCGTGACAAAATTGAAAAAAATAGATAATTTGAAAGGCTTGTGTAAATTTAATTGTACAATAGGCTCAGTAGAGTAAGCCACGTTAAATATATATTGCTTACACAAAGGACACAAGTTCCATCAATTGAAGCTATAACTCTAATTCAATCATGATATATCTTATACATTCGAGGATTATTTTGTCAATACTTACGTTTAAGGCAACAATTCATAACAATTCCTCGAGTATCGGAGTCAGTTTTTACAATTGTACCTTTTGTTATATTCTTTGTGTCATCGAACAATGGTTTTATCTACATACTAAAGAATCAGTGATAACCTTGGGACAAATAACTGTTTTTCGATATTTTGACATATACCTGTGTGTAACTCTAGAAATCTTGCAATTGCTGAGCTAACATTTCACGTCCAATCTTGAATTCCACTAGAATATCAATATATCCCATTTCGTACTATAAGCTATTCAAATTGAGCTAACGAGCTAGGTAAACGCTTACACATGTTCTCACTTCTTAGGCAAGTTTTATTTTGCCTTTAATCATGTTGCTAAACTCGTCCTAATGAGTCCGTCATGAAACTAATAAAAAGTTTATTTCCCACATATTTCCCTGTTGGATGATAGTATGATTAATAGTGTAGATTAGAACACGAAATCAGCTATTCTTAGCTCAGTATGATTTCAACGAAAATAATAAATACAAATCAATTGATAGGATGTTCCAGCTGATTGACTTACCATTTTTCCCGTGAGTATCATCGTCATGCTTTTCACCACCAAGATTTTGTTTGGTAACTTTATCAAGCTGCGTTTCGCGCCCGATTTATTCCTGTTTGCCGTGCGATGTTTTCTTAAGCCAAGCGTAGAAGCTTTTATTGACAACTCAATAGATATGCAAATCAAACCGAGATCCTATATCTGTAATGTTTCACCCTTCAATCACACTTTTTAGTTGTATTTATAGGCAATGAAACTTAGATGTGACAATGTTAGATGTAATATCAATCGCAACCAATGCAAATCCAAGCTGAGTGGCTGCGATATAAAAACCGTCTGTTCAAGCTCCGACTGTTGATCTAAAATGATCTGAGAGCTGTATTCATATCGCTTATTAGACTTTCTCCGCAGCCAGGCAGCATCCAATGCAACAAACGCTCACGGATCAATCAGCAACTGCGCGGTGTCCAATGAAATTAAAGAAACATGGTTACATCACCCGTTGTTAATCAAACAGCAGCCTCTTCACGGATCTTAAACGTATTGGAATTCTAGACGTTGAAAATAAATAAATTGATCCTCTCGCATTCAGTACAACATGAATATTAATGTAATTATCAATTATAAGGCTTCTGAAGTATTTCTGACGGTAGCCAATTGTATGTTGTAGAATTCAGCTCAACCATCTGTAAACATCTCACGAGAATCTAACATCCTTTTCTTCCGGAGCCTATTTACTGGTAAACCACATTGCTGCCTGTTGAACTGACTTAGGTAACGCTGATTAAATATACCACGTTTAAATCTCCGGATTACTACCGTATTGGGAAAATACAAATGCAAGCTCTGCATCTCTAGTTATCTCTGAGGGACCGGAGTATCATTAATAAACAGATTTAAGCTTCCTTATACAATCTAATTGTATTTCCCAACGTACTACAAAGTTTGCCATGGACGTGAATAAAATATTTCGATTCAATCTCGGTATGCTTGCCCAAAAAGTAACGACCACATCAAAGCACTCTGTAGACCGATCGGTAAAATTCTAAGAAAATAGTGAAAATCGAGCAAACTTAAAATAAAATGTAGTAGGTAGATTTTCACTGGTCGTGATTGTAATGGAACTGGATTTCAATCAACCATATCACCCCGATCTTTTCTCTTCTACCTTTTCAAGAGTGACATCTGTTGAGTACCGCCTATAGGCTACGTCTCTTTTTAATGTTTTTCGTTCAGCGCAATGCATTGAAACCCCATCTATGATCTCTTTAAGCTATAACCCATGGGTTTAGACTTCAGTAGTTGTCATTTTACATTCCACCAAGACGTTGTGTTACGTTATGGGTTAGTTCCAAAGATCCCTGACTGGTCTGACTAAGAGGTTTTGTAAAATGTGGATTTACTAAGAGCTCTTAACTCTCTCTTAACTCTGACCCAAGCTGCCCATTGGGGGTAGTAATGGGTGACACTCATATCTAATGTATACTGTGTCTCATAAGTCGGCACCGGCTGGTGATGTTACAAAATGTTGTTTTTATTATGTATTTTATATGTATATTGTAATATCAGTGACACAAAAATAAACTATTTTAAACTAAAAACTAAAACTCTAAAACGTTTTAGCCAAGACTTCTTAGGAGTGAGAGGTAGAATCTAACCAGTGGCCCGTTCGATTGACCTAAGCGATAGTTTTTCAAAAACGTGAATTGTTCAAAGTGATGATAAAGTGTTCCGCGATGACCCGTTTCGATTTTCTCTTGCGTTCATGTTCCTTTTCCAAATGGATGCGTATTTAGCCACAATATTGACTCGCAGTCTTATTAATGTAATACTTGAAAGACTGCACAGGACAGCCGTATCTGTAGGTCGAGTATTTATTGAATATTGAGGTGCTAAGGTTAACTTGATGCGATGTAATCACGATATATACCTTCAATATACCAGTAAATTGTATCCAGTACGCTGTAATTACAGTCGTATTCTCCCCCTAGCTTGATGTATTTTGATAGGTGTGTCATGCCTCTCTGACAGTCACGTTTTTCAGAACGTTAGAAAAATTGCATAAAATTGTAGTGCTCATAACTTCATACCTATCTTTCTGTCTTGCAACGCAAAGTGATCTGATTAAGTTTGAAATATGTCTGACTGGATCAGTGATAATCCGATGGTGGAGTATCAACCGTCACAACCTTTAATTGTCCTACGCATTTATCGTCACTAAATGTCCATACATTTCACAAGCGCAATTACATTCTATTGTAGTGCTAATAGGTAAGTCTGTAAACATTAATACACTTCAGTTCAATTAGGCTGTGATCAAAAAGGGTGACCCCAAATATCCCACCCACTCAAAATAAGTTTCTTGAATATGCTTGAATTTCCTTCGCTTCAGTGTAGAAAATAATGTTTAATGGGGCAAGTGGTCAGTAGAGTATGTGCGGAGGAAGGCGTCTACTAGAGGCAAGTGTTCACGAGAGAGTGATGTTCACTAAGACAGGTTTTACATAGTACTCAAGGAGGTATTACCAAACTTATGATGAACAACATTTAGATACATTTTCCATCTTTCATTAAAATAATGAACATAGAAATTCTCCTCCCAAATCTGAACACCTTTTGGTCCCGTTTTTTCATCCCATTGACTCCTATGTTAAAAAAGCCCTGAAATGCTAGCACCTCCCAATTTGAACAGTGAATGGTCATATTTGAAAAATCAACCTGTCTTATCTGAAATCTTTTCATAAAATATCACACTGTTCATCCGCTCAAATATTTTGTATTGGTCGGTGATTTATCATGATATCAAAGCTTTTGGAAAAACATTGAATTGTCCCAATCATAATTGTGTCTTTCTAACATGATTAATAAATTCATTTGAATCAGATTACCATATAACTAGTATTGGAATGTTATAAAGCTATTTGGTCGATGAGAATTGTACTTAAATAATTTTTAAAAGATATAAAAGTATATGCTTTTTTGTTTTCTTCAAAAATAATGTTTAGAAATAAATTGTCATTTACTCAATCAACCTCCAGGCAACGTTGCACCCTCAGTTAAGCAAGTCAGATTTGTAAAGCTATTATTCCCACCTTTCAAATGGTGTATTGGAACATTGGGACAAAGTGCGATATTTGTTTTTCATTTAGGAGCGGACTTCGAAGCACTCGTTTGCTGAGCTGGGAACAATGCTTTGTATAAGCGTCCCTTGACTCTTTGAGCTTGCACTGTAAGTTCTCATTTACCTTTAATGACCGTGCAGTACGTACATGGGGGTATACACAAAGCCTTAGAGGAAGTTATGATTGAGTTTGTAGATGGCTCGATTTCCTTTGAATGATCCTCTGAACTAACAGTCGGAAACGCTGGATACGCAAGTGATTTCCCGCAATAACGTTCAAGTAATAAAGTACAATGCATAATAATTGTGCAAAATGATACGATTGTTCCTGGTTACAGGTTCTCTTCCACAACTTTATATCCACACGGCCCTACTTGAAATGGGAGATTTTGGATTTTATGAAATGAAGATTCATCTAGAATTATTCACCCTTTAAATATTAATTTTTGGTTTAAGGCAGGCCGATTGCTGTAATAAGTAATCTATAGCAACTTATATTAGCCTTTTACCTGAAACCGACAGGGAAGCAATTAACCTCAGACGAAGACCAATCCCTTTAATCATGCAAGCGCTGTCGTACTCTTTTGTTCAATAGGGACATACTTCTTGTACTTACTCGTATTTTGAATGAGCTTGCGCAGGTTCCTACAAAGATCCTGGATTATAAATCACGAAGGACTCAAAACAAGATTACAGGTGTTTGCTTAATTAGAAGCGCAATACCTTTGAATCATTGATAATGTAAGAAAAAGGAATCTCTGAACCGATAATTCAATGGTCCAATGACAAACTTACTATCCGCCAAATGTTAGACTTGATGAAACTAGCTCGACCTCTAATCATTTGTAAATATCAAGGGTTTCACAAATTGAACATTTGTATCCTGAGTCTTGAAACAGTACGAGGTGCGCGGCTGCGCCTAGTAGGCTTTTGAAAAGTGGTCTATTGGAATCCTCGGCGATCATTTTCAGGCATCGACCGAAGATAATATTTTTATCAAATGCTAATGATTGTGTTGTCGTTAAAATGAAAAGTATTCCAGGATAAGTAGTTTAGTTTATTACTATAGTATAAGTTTAGCCACATAAATGACGGCGATCAGCATGAATAAACTGTACTGGAGAAAATTGGTAATTTGACACATTCTCGATGTCTGTTCCGGAACCTATGGCTTGAAACCTGTAAAAGTAAATGCCGTTATCTATACAGTTTAAACTTCCCCTCTGGATAGAATGATGGTACTTTTTAAACCAGACATAATGCCACCAGATTTGTCTCAAAGGCTTCCGATAACGTACACTAATTCTACATCATGCATCAAACAAGTATATTTTCTAAATCGCTCACTTACATGTTTTTGATAAAAAGTGAAACTATGTACATATTTTTAAGCGACCATAACAAAGGAATACATTTATGAACTCATGCCTATTGTTCTTCAATATAAAATCGCGTCACCAATAATATTCTTAATGTACCGTTTTTAGATACAATCGAATGATCGTGTTTAGCATTGAATATTTGTTTTATTGAGTATACTAGTTCAGGAAAATCAAATGATATTACTGAATTGTCAAGGCAACTGTTAGTTAGCGATAGAGAAAATCAGTTGCTATGATAACAAAAATCAGAAGGTGTAGAGCTAGATCTCTTAGAAACCGTAAAAAAGGTTTAAATTTTAAAACTTACCATGCAGATGAAATGTATAAGATAGTAGTTTAGTTATCAAGAAATGAATGACATATTATGGCCTTTCGACTCAAAATAAAAATCACCATGAATGGATAACTAAACAGATGGGCGCTGTTTTAACAACCGCAAACAATTGTTTTGCTACTCAAGTGAATGAATCCCGTTTGATCAAAATGTTTATCCAGTCGCCGGAATAGCTGTTCGATCAATTAACACCCGAACAAAGTAACTATGTAAACTATGGGCATGCTACTTGCAACCATACACATCTCGACGGAAGGATCAACGGGGTTCATACGCAATCTATCTATCATCGGGCCCTTTGCAAGATAAATGAAATCAATTCTCTTTTCATTAACACGAATGTTTAACCCCAACCGTTGTTTCACATACCTCGTCGATCATATCCGTTTAATCACCGTATTATTTGTAGCTGGGTATCGCCTTTCAATTCTTGCATATTCTTCGATGTCTCTCATTGTCATATCTCCATTACACTTCATAGTAATTTGTATGAGCACACGGCCAATCA